ATATATATATACAAAATCTAAAAAATATATTTGTATTTATAGTTTAATAAACTATTAAAATTTGTGGTGAAAGAATGGGAGGAACTGAAATTAAATGAAGTGCATATTCTAGAAGAAATCACTATTCAGGGTAGTAAAATAGCGCACTTATATCGCAGTAAGCTATCATTTTAATTTTTTAATTTTAGAAAATTTTACACATGAATTTATTCTTTTGCATTTGCATTCAATTATATTTTTTCCAGATACTTTATTGTCTTTTTTGATATTGTTTTTACTTGTCCCTATGTATTTCCCTGTTCTGGATATGATTGATACATTAAATCAAACTCGATCACGACAACAACTACTTAGAGTCAATTACATGGTTTTTAACGCTGATGATTACTTTTTCTATGTGTATTTACAATTAGCTTGGGGTGCAATTGTTATCGTGATGATCGTAATTACCGTAGATTCTTTGTATATAATTATAATTCATCATGTATGTGGATTGTTCGCTGTGTGTAGGTAAATATCAGATATCAGAGGAAATTGAATCGTGATTATTTTTCCTAACTATTTCTAATTCTTGATTATAAATTCAGTCACGAAATCCAAGAAACAATAAAATATTTGACAATATTCCCTAATACTGAAAAGTGCTCGTATAAAGAATTAGAAAATTGCGTGATCAAGCACAATAAAGCAATCAAGTTAGTATTTATCGAATAATCGATCAATTGTAAAAAATTATCAAATAATTAAAGAACATTACTAATTTTTTATTTTTAGGTTTTATAATATTCTAAATAATAGTAGCCAACTGAGTTATTTGCTTCAGATTGGAATAAATATAATGGGTATAAGCACGACAGCTTTTCAAGTAAAGACAATCTTCTAAAAAAATTCAGAAAACGAAAACACAACAAAATTAGAAAAGCTTTAATCGAAATAATAATTTTATATTTTCAGTTAGCCGTAAATTTAGATACCAGACCACAAGAAGCAATCAGAAATGCTGTATTTTGTGGAGCCAATCAATTTCATTTATTTGTGCTTAGCTTACCTGGACAGATACTTCTCAATCATTGTGCCGAACTTACGAATACAATGTATGTATACGTAATATAAAATCCTACAAAACACAAATAATATATATTATAAATTATATGTAAAAAGATAATGTTTCATCGACATTTCAACAGATATTGTTCTATGTGGTACAAATTACCAGTAAAAATTCAAAAAATGTTTAACATAATACTAATGAGAAGTAAAAAATCATGCGCATTAACGGTATACGGATTATATGAATTGAATATGGAAAATTTTGGAACAGTATGTAATATAATACTCGTATATATATCATAATTATTATTAATTAAATTTAATTTTTATAATCTTTTCATTCCAAGACTTTCAAAGCTTGTATATCGTACTTTACTATGATGCTGTCGCTAAAGTAATATAACGTTAAATAATTGAAGAGTTTCATCACATGATGTTTTACTTGATGTTAAGTAATTTATATTAAACGTGCAAATAAAATTAATATAATCATTACCAAAGTTATGATCTTCATTTTATTTCACTGGATTTTCTAGCATTCTTGCGAATATTTATATACTAACATAATTCGTTATGAATTAATACGCAAGGAAAACTGAAACAGAAAAAAAAATATATTTTAATCAAATAAATGATGAATTATTTTTAATGTCCATATTATATAACTAACATTATTATACAAACACTTTTCTTTTTCGATTAATTATTATTATTATATGATTACATTTGTAATATATTTAAATAAGAGATTTTTAATATCTTCTTTCTTATTAAAACAATAATGTTCCGATCTATGATCATTTATACATATATAAAGATTATTATTATATTGTGATTTTCATGATTTTAATCTTGCAATTGTGATAAATTTAATTTAACAAACAAAACATTAGTTAAACGAAGTGAAGAAATTATTAGTGTTAAAAAATATTACTGGGAACGATATCTTTTTTATAATTCTTTTTAAGAATGTAAAAGATTTCAAAAAATTATTTGAAAATTTACTGTCTAGCATTATTCAATGAATATCTATTGTACGTGATTAATATCTCATGATAATCGTAGATTTTCCATTTCCAATTTAAATGACATTTTTATATGGACATTTTATTTTATTTACAATATCTTGTACTTCAATATTATCAATATTATCAAATGATATTTTAATATATACTTGCATGATTTACAATTGTATTCAATGATAAAAATTATATATTTGGTTAAAAAAATTCATAGTTGAAAATCGAAGCAATTCTAACTCTACTAGAAAATTCTTAGTTAGAAGTCGGATACAATTGCATTTACTAAGTATATATTAAAAACAGAAATACAAAGATATTTTTAGAATTTATAAGAATTCAATACAGTGATATGATAATCTTCGGTTTATTATCGAATTAATATCGAACCTTATTGAAACTACTAAATATAAATCAATATTTCAAGACAATCATATACCTTAATTTTATTGCATAAACGGATGCCGTAAAGTTATTGGAAAAAGAATTTTCTTATGTACGAAACAATTGTTCCCTCGTCTGGAAAATTATACTTTAATCTATATGTGTCAAGTAAGTGAATGATTCGTAGTCATTTTCAGTAACATCAAGTATCGTGTTCAATTGCATTCGTCAGATTGATTTTTACAGTTTTAGAAAGAAAAATACGCATAGATTTAGACCATATAGATTCATTTAAAGACGTTTACTTCATGGTTGTACAAGTTGCAACATTGCTGCTTTGGAATCATGGATAGTAAGAAAAAATCGCATTGAAGATTAAAATTAGAAAAGAAACTTATCTTCCTTTAAATATTGTAACATTAATGTTACAATACTAATCATTTTCATCTGTATTTGAAACAATTTAATGATAAATAATATTTTAAATTTATCTTCAGGACTTTCAGTATTTCAGAAAAGTG